TAGGGGGTTTAGGGGGTGTAGGTGTGGGTGTGGGCTTTAAACCCTAAACCGTACCCCGAACCCTAGACCCTAAACCTTAAACACTAGACCGTGTAAACCCCACGCAGTAATCCCGACCCTGACCCCGACACCCTAAACGAAGCCCTAAACACTACCATAAACCACAGCCACTGTGACCCGAGGCTCCTATGGACCTGGCTTCGCCATGGGCTTGGAGCTACGGGTTTAGGCTTTAGGTTTAGGATTTAGTGTTCCGGGGTTTCAGGGGTTCAAGAGGTTGTTCATGTATTTTATGCTTCTTTTCTTTCGGAGGGGGGGGGGTGGACGGGAGCTGGGGTTGAGGTTTCCGGGGCAAGGTGGAAAAGGCTGCATTTTGGCTGGACCATTCTGGCTTTGTGCAGAGATCTGGACCCTGAACGTCAGAATTTAAAGCCCCCAAAGTAACGGCCTAAACCCCTAAACCCTGACCCGCTAGAACCCTAAACCCAAGCCCTAAGCCCCAAACCCTAAACCCCAAACCCTAAACCCCAAACCCCAAACCCTAAACCCCAAACCCCAATCCCTAAACACTAAACCCTAAACCCTAACCCCCAAACCCCAAACCCCAAACCCTAAACCCTAAACCCTAAACCCCAAATCCTTCGACCGAGGGCGCGTACAGCCGCCTCCCACTGCCTCCAGCCGCGACGTCGCCGGTACCAGCCGCACCCAGCCTTGGGGGGGGGCGTGGTGAACCCCAACAGGGCTTGGGGTTTAGGGTTTAGGGTTTAGGGTTTAGGGTTTAGGGTTTAGGGTTTAGGGTTTAGGGTTTAGGGTTTAGGGTTTGGGGACTGGCAAAGGTTTTTGACTTTAGCCCTTTGGAAGCCCCTATAAGACGTCTTCTCATGGAGCTTGACATGGAGTTCAGAATTGTTTGGGATGTCTGTGGAGGACAGGCAGGAGCCTCAAAGCCAAACGGCGTCATCTCCTTCTAACCCCTAAGGCATGTATAAGCAAATAAGTGCATATGTATACATGTATATACATATATCTGTGTGTGGAACTATATATATATATATGTATGTGTATATATATATATATATTAGTATTAGTATATGCATATGTATATGTATGTGTATAGGTAGCTATGATACCGACCACCGGTCGAATTCCAATTATCTAAGCTTCTTGGATTAGGGGGATCAGACGGATTTCAGTAGTTTAGGGTTTAGGGTTTCGGGCTTAGGGTTTAGGGTTTAGGGATTTAGACGGATTTCAGTAGGCCAGGGCAGGGCTGGCGGCGAACGGCCGGGATCTGCGACGTAGGTGTGGCTTGTTCCCTAGCTGAGACGGAGACCCTAGACCCGAAACCCTAAACCCTAAACATGCAGCCTTTCGGCCGCAGTCTCCAAGAATTGACTGCCTTTTGAAGAGAGAATGGACAGCCTTCAGTCATGCAGCCTGACACATGCTCAGCATGTCACATTCTGTACATTTCGGGATCAGGGTTTAGGGTTCAGGGTTTAGGGTTCTGGCTGAATCAGGGTTTAGGGGCTAGGGACTTGGTTTTAATTCTTAGGATTTTGCAGCTCTTGCAATACTTCAAGGTGTGAGTAGGTGTCAGTGCGAGCTGCCCGCGCCCGGACCATGACGCAGTGACACCCTGGATCCGCTGCCTGGCATGCTGCCAGGCAGGCTTTGGTGACTATTCGTTTAGGGTTTAGGGTTTAGGGTTTAGGGTTTAGGGTTTAGGGTGATCCCTGAAGAGTCTCAGAGTGTTTCAGGGTTTCCGGTTTACTTGCCTGTTCTTAGTCGGGCTGAGGTACTTTGTAGAGAATCTCTTCAAGGGCATGTTTAGGTTTCAAATCCCGTCAACCCCACACCGAAAATCCGCAACCCCTGAACCCCTGAACCTGAGGGTGGCCACACCCGATTGGAAGGGTTTAGGGTTTAGGGTTTAGGGTTTAGGGTTTAGGGTTTAGGGTTTAGGGTTTAGGGTGTACGTAGGGTGTAGGGTTTAGGGTTTAGGGTTCAGGGTTCAGGGTTGGGTGGCCACACATCAGGCGTCCCGGGAAGCGCGCCTCCGCAGACCTGGGATGGTTCGAAGGACCCGGCCAGCGGGGGGGGGGGGGGGGGGGGTTGAGGAAAGTTAGGGTGTAGGGTTTAGGGGTTTAGGGGTTTAGGGTTTAGGGTTCAGGGTTTAGCGGCTTAAGGAAATTCAGGGGTTGGGGTTTCAGGGTGCGGCAACCCCGTGTGGCCATGATTTCGATTCATGCTTCTTTTGGGACAATAACTTCTTCCTGTGCATGGTGCAGCTTGAGGCTGCCACTGGACGCCTATAAGTCCTAAGTTGGGTCTTTGGGTCCACGGACACGAATGGGTGCCTGCCGTCGCAGTTGTCCTGTCAGGGGTGAGGGATGCCAGATTTGGGTTTAGGGTTTAGGGTTTAGGGTTTAGGGTTTAGGGTTTAGGGTTTAGGGTTTAGGGTTTAGGGTGTAGGGTTTAGGGTTTAGGGTTTAGGGTTTAGGGTTTAGGGTTTAGGGTTTAGGTCGGATGTTGCACCTCCGTCTTCAGAACTCTGTGGTTTACTTGCGGTTCTAGTGTTTAGGGCTTTTTCTAGGCATGGGTGTATACCCTAAACCTTTGACCCGAAACTCTAAACACTACACACCCTTGCAAAAACCCAATTCTAAACCGCAAGCTTGACTCCTTTGCCTTTGTTTCGTCTTGCGTTGGTGGACGTGATCCTGGTTTGAGGCTGGAAGAAGGTCGTATTTTGGGTCTGATCAAATCGCTCACCCGCACCGCCCACGCGTTGGACGTGAGTCCCTTCATGGTGCAGAGTTGCTTACAGTTAGTTTCAGTAGTACTGCTGCGACTCCCCATCTTCCAGCACGCATGTCGACAGCCAGCGACGAGGTGAGCATGCAGTACATGTGCACCGAATGCGGCATCATCATCAAGTTCCACGAGAAGTTGCCCTGCCCGAAATGCCACAAGGACACCCTTCCCTGCCTGCTTGGCCGTGAGCACACGTCCAGTACGGACACCAGCTCAGGAGACAGCCAAGACACCGGCGAGGTCGAGACATCTCATCCAGTGACAAACCGAGAGCACTGTGGTAACATGGACACCAGTTCCGGATACAGCTCCGACGGTGCCATCGGTGCTGTTGCAGCCACGACCACGACTTTTACAGGGCATGGCCACGAGCTGTATGCCTGCATGGACATCAATTCTGGGTACAGCTCAGATGGTGCCATCGGTGCAGCCGCACCCACGACCATTGATGCATCCCCTCCAGGCACACCAGGCACAGGTCATGAGCACCGTGCAATGGCCCCTCTGATTGCGGCTGCCCGTTCCAGAGACGGCTTCACGACTGCCCCCTCCGACCCAGATGGTGCAATGATGGCCTCCGTGACCATGGCCGAAGAGCAGCAGGACCTACCTGCAACCCCTGAGGCGTTCCGAAAACAAAGCCCAGCCAGAATTACAGGAAACCGGATCGTGAAACCGGAACCGAACGGGTAAAACAAGGTTCGAACGGGAATTACAAGAAAAATCGGAATTTCAAGGGTTGCATGGGCTCATATGGACTAAAGGGGTGGGATTGAGAGATCTCGTGAGCTTTGGCGAATTCCTGGATTTGCGTGTAGCTACAAAAGGGGCTATATCAGGCATTGCGGTGATGCAAAGTTCATGTTTGAGGGGACAGGCCGCGATTTCTAGGTTAGGGTGGGGTTGGTTTAGGGGGCCGCGCCCTTGGTCCAAGCGAGCCTGGAAATAGCAACGACCCCGACCTCTAACCCAACTTTACTCCACCAAGACACGAACCCAAACCAAATCCAAGCCCTAAACTTCGACCAATCCCATGTGCTGCCGACGGCCATTCTCCATTCTCCAGCCCCGAGCTCAGTGAGCGAACCACACTTCGCCCAGTTGCAACAGGTAGCGCTGCAACGTGCGCGTGCATGCCGCCATCGGACTGCAACTTCGGGCGGTACGTGCTACCCGACCCACGTAGTCTTCGTCCATCGCACATGACTCTAGTATCGGGTTCATCGCTTTGCGGTGAACGTCAAACTGCCAGGACACATGCTTGATAACGTGAAACAACATGTGGTGTTTCGGGGACACCTTGAACCGCATCTGTTGCCGTTGGAGAGCGAGCAGTCCTGCACGAGCACTTGCTTTTAGAAAGTGCTCGCCAGCTGCAATGACATTTTTGGCAGCATCATTTTCGAGCCAGAACGGACTGCTGTAGAGCAGCCTCATGAAGACGTTGAGAGCGCGTGTTCCCGAGGCCTAGGAGCATATAGGACAACCAACCCCTGAACCTGGCAGCCACGCAAATGATTCCACGAAGCCAAAACAAACAAGTTCAATACATTCACAAGCGTCGACCAGTCGAAGGGATTCATCAGGGTGATCGTCTTCGATGCCACGTTTTTGGCAAAAATCGTCTATAAACTGCAACAACGTCGTGGTCACTGCCCCTTGTTCCAACCACCCTCAGGCTCCTGGTTCGAAGCCTTCCAGCCCAGCAGGCTTTTCGTGATGCTCTTGATGAAAGGCACTTTCCGCGGTTCCTGGGTGGGGGCGTTAACGTTCGACCTTTGGGACTTTGTGGGACTGAGAGGCGTTTGGACACAACCCAAAAAGAAACAGTTTATGTCTTCTTTCTGCAGAGCAGGGTGCAGCAGTTTTGCAAAACTCGAGATACGCAGCGCTGAGCTGTTCGAGCCGTGTCGTGACAGAACCCTCAAAAAAGTTTTCAACCAGTTGTACCAGTGCTGATGCACACCAGCTTTTGCCGACTCCAAGATTCACGGCATGCCATGGGTCCACACGATAGAAGAACGCGAGGGCTCCTTCGTGTTGGAGAAGCCTCGTCGTAAAGCACGAAGGAGTCGTCCATGGAAGTTTTTCTTCGATGGTTTCCATAAAGCTGGGCCAATCGGACCTTGCGCGTAATTAGCACCATGCAGCCCTGTACCACCCTAGGGCTTATATGGGGTTTATGGGGCGTATTTAGGGTTTCGGCTGAACAGACCCATTCTGAACGTTTGTTGAACACTCGTGCTACTGCGGGACATGTCCTCGAAGTCGTATCCAGGGGTGCCTGCGAGGCAATAGTGACAGACTCCTGTCCCGGCTTTCTCCGCCGAGGCTGCCTTCGGCCCTTGGCGGAACGTGCGCGTCAAGCGGCCCGCAGTAGCCTCAGCTCGCAGAAAGTTTTGCGAGTGAGGGTCCTGCAGGAAGGGAATGTTGATAGTAAACCATTCGACAGTACATGTCTCAAGCCAAGCGGCAAGAAATGGCCAATCCCCTTTGATGCCTATGGGGCTCAGCCAGAACTGTCGTCCATCCTGAAGCTTAACCCCCTCAAGCTGCGCAACTCGTAGATCCTCGACAATGTGCTCAAAGAACTGCTCCAGCACTTCTGGAGATTCCGCGTACTCTTCCTAGGAGTGAGGGTGTTCAATTCTACCCTGTACAAGCCCATATTACACAAGAACACAAGACAATGTTAACTGTAACATCGCAGGATTCTTTGGGCAGCACACCCAACAGGAAACGTGTTGTCAGTGTAACTCCACGCTGGTTGACATATGGGTTGGCCGCACCTTCACCCACCAAGCGATCAGCGAAAGCCTGTCTCCCAAGTAGACTGGTGCCTTTTCCAAATAGCGATTGTAGCTGCAGGATCATGATGCCAGATCGCTTATAATAGGTGCCTTCGTCACCGTGAACATAGCAAGGTAGGCAGCGAGATACATCGACTTCACCACGGTCCGCCTTGGCAAAAAGCTGATATCCCGGATACATTCTTCTGTAATCATCCCAGAAATTTGCCATCATCTTGCAGCCAGCATTGAAATCATCTTGCCCGAAGAAGAACTGCCAGAAGTTGTATCTATCCACAAGTCGCACGAAATCCGTTGCACGTATAATGGGATAGTCACCCACTGAAGCCGGTATCTCTCTCGGAGGTTCTGGAGCCCATCGGCTTGATTTACTTTTGGCCTTCGCCTTGGCCTTAGCCTTCGTTTTCGATTTTGCTCGTCTGACCAATCTTGCCTGTCTGTGGATTGTGACATAGGACAGTGGGAGCTGCAAGCGTAGCCCAACTTTTCCGGCCACTCGATGCACTGATTCTTCCTCAGTCTTGCAGACCGAAAACCCACTACAGCCCAGCAATCCTGCACGCTGCAAACCAGACCGAAAACCAACTACAGCCCGAGAATCCTCCCCTATAAGCCTATATAAACCCTCATCCTAAACCCTTGAATATATATTTTACTATTTCTAGAGATATATGTATATAAACCCATATAAGCCCTGCGTAAACCCTAAACCACCCTATAAGCCCTAAACCCTATAGACCCTATATACCCCATATATAAACCCTATGCCCAAAACCCTCTAAACCCTATAAATCCTAAACCCTACGGAAACCCTATCAACCCTCCCTGTATCCTATACACCCTATATAGAACACTGCAAACCCGACCCCACTCATAGACATGTTTCAGCTTTCCGCTCGGAAGAAGAACTGAGTGAAGATATAACCGGGCATGCAAGCGCTGCCTTTCCAAAATCTTCAACCAATCGTTTCGAGGTCACAACGGCCTGCTTGGCCGTACGCCCGCGCCCCACATCCGCCACGATTGATTTCGCAGTTGAGGACACACCTGGCGCAGAGGAAAGGTTGATCACTTTCTGGGATTTGGCTTTTTACGTGGTTTAGGGTTTACATATATATATATATAAATAAATATAAATATAGATATACATATATAGTATGTATACATATATATATATGTATGTACACATATATCTATTTGTTTATAAATATAATACTTGTATATTTATATCTTATAGGGTTCAAAGGGTTGAGGGTTTAGGGCTACGGTGTTTCAAATATATACGTACAGGGTTTAGGGTTGATAGCTTGGATATTTCCCCCTCTCTTCTAATCCCGATTGCTGACTGTGAGAAGGAGAAACAATCCCAATGATAGGGTTCAAACCAATAATAGCAGGGACGCCGGGACCCCAAGCCCTAGACCCAAATGCCCCATACATAAGCGGGCCCTTCATGTTTAGGGTTTAGGGTTAGGGTTTAGGGTTTAGGGTTTAGGGTTTAGGGTTTAGGGTTTAGGGTTTAGGGTTTAGGGTTTAGGGTTTAGGGTTTAGGGTTTAGGGTCTAGCGTCTATATAGGGTTTAGGGTTTAGCGTTTTTTCAGGTATAGGGTTTAGGGCATATATAAGGGCTAAGGGTTTAGGGTTTAGGGTATAGGGTTTAGGGTTTAGGGTTTATAAGGTTTAGGGTTTAGGGCATATATAAGGGCTAAGGGTTTATAGGGTTTAGGGTATAGGGTTTAGGGTTTAGGGTTTTCGTCGCGAGGCATTGCTTTTGCGCGCGTTCCATCACGGACACCAGGAACGCTCCCCTCCCCGAACTGTCATGCGCCTTCAAGTCGCACATGAACCGAGATTCTGCTTGGCACGACTGCGTGTGTATACTCACACACGCAATGCCAGAGAAACTGAGATAATTAAAGATCCGGATCCGGTAGGTCAGGATGGCAATTTCACACTTGCTCCATATAGCCCAAAGCACAGGCTCATTACAATTAGAAAGGGGCTTTGTGTTATTTGGGCACGCCACTCCACACCCCATCCATTCCTGCCAAATCACGGTTTGCCCTTGCGCCGAACACGCCTAACTGGTGTCACGGATGTGGCCGCCGCTGGCCTAGCTGCAGCCTTGGGCTTGCGCCTCTTGTTGCCAGTCTTTTTCGGCAGCTCCCCGTTCACAGCATCCTCTTCACTTCTCTGCGCGGCTTTGCGCGCGACGTTGATATGCTTCAAGATAGACCTCGCGTTGATTAGGAAAGGCCACCCTCTTGCGTCCCCAAGCTTTGGAAACTTCAAAATGGACAGTGGGTTGAGGGGTGTGTGCACCCTAAAAACAAAAGCGATAAAAATAGAACATCCCTATATAGCCTATAGGTGGTTTTGTTCGAGACCCTATAGAAATACATTCCTATAAACCCTATAGTGCTTCCCTGCGCGCCTAACGCTGCAACCAAGCAGCTTGTACCGCGACTCTTTGGCCACCAACTCAGCACACCTTATCGCGAAACCCTATAAACCTTATAAACCCTCTAAACCCTAAACCCTAAAACCTAATAAACCCTAAACCCTAAACACTATAAACCCTAAACCTGCCCAGACAGACACGGTTTTTGGGCCCCAAAACCGGGGTCTGCAAAACCCTCATTTTCTGACAGCTAAATCCTAAACCCTAACCCTAAACCCTAAACTTGGCAAGCAAAACAAAGTGCCAAACTGTTACCCGGTCATAGTCGAGACTCGGCGAAGCGACAGCTTCGCGCACGTTCACAAAGTCCAGATTCAGCCTCGTCGGAGGGCAGAAAACAAACTGGGATGATAGAGGGGGCACGAGAATGCCAGGGGTGTTATGAAAAGAAAAGCACTGGTTCATTAATTCCGAGGGGCTTTTGGAGGCCTGCGGAGTCCATGTGCGAAACCATTTGGAAGGAACTGAGGAGTAACGCAAGCTTCCCATGTTGCACCTCGAGATTCTTGGACACTTCCTCAAATTCCAAGTCAAGCCTCAGTTGAGTCTATACGCAGCACCGTGCTAGACCTCTGCAAGTTGACTTCTTGTGTAGATTAGCAAGGGCGCTTCTTGGTTTGGTCGTTGGGCTCTGGGTTGTACGGGGCTTGCAGGCATTCCCTCATCCTCGAAACGCTGTCGATCTTGCCCCCCACAAGGTTGAGGTAGCGGGTCAATTCATCTTTCACCTGGACGATTACATTGTAAGAAAATATTGGTTTGGGATCTTCACAGAGGGCAGGCCTTCACATGCTCAGCCTTGTTGTCCGGGCACTCACCTAACGAAGCCTCGCGTTCGAGCTGCAGATCCTTGTCCTTAGCGAAGCCGCCAACCACGCCCGAGTCCAAGTCCAGGTGCTGGCTGGCATCACCAACCTGCACAAATGAGTTAGCTCATTGAACCCGGTGTGGGAGTTGGTGTTCCATAGGGTTGGGCAAGCCTTCTCAGTAGCATGCTGAAACTTCTCGAGGTCCGAGCGTTTTATCTTAGCCATATCTTCTGTCTCCACAAAGTACTCGGAGATACTGGCATTGTACTTCCAGCACCTACATGGCTCGGGGCTTCTTCACAGTTTTAGCATGTTGAATGTGCGCTCACCCACATGATACGCGAAACCCACATTAGGCCACTAGAAAGCTGAAGCATGACAGAGTCATGTGCCTGACGAGCGTGTTCGGAAATTTTCTGCAGTAGGCCACCACTTGACGGATGGTTTCCCTCGGTTTTACCGAGGAATATATATGCTACTGTTAAAGGTCTGTGCAAAAAAATCACACTCACCACAAATATTGAACGAGCCACTTGCTCCACTTGAGTTCCGTGCGCATTCGCTCTTCCGTCAACCATCTGCCCGTGACTTCTTCCTCTCTGAGAACCATCCGCTCTTTCACATGCGTGATGCGATTGAGGAACGCCGCCTGGCAGCCACGACCCACTCGCGACGATAACACAATAAAGCGCTTGAACTTGCTGGTCTGTCCTTGACCGCAGCGTGCTTCTTAGACTGCTCTTCACCAAGCTGTTGGATGGCTTCCAGGAGTGCTATCTCTAGCAACTCGCGCTGCTCACCAGCAGCAGCGTACTCTTTGCGAATGTCTCCTGGCACCCACGCCTTGCCACTTTTTTTGAGTTCACACATGCGGCGAAGCATCATGCGTAGGGCGTCTCGCGAAAGCACCTTACATGAAGATGCGCGCGGTTTAGGGTTTAAATAGGGGGTTTAGGGTTTTTGCGAAAGGGTATAGTTGCAGTCTGGAAGCTGCAGCCTTACCATCCATCATGACGATATTATCATCTTCCTTGTCAGAGTCCGAAATCTCTTGCGTTGACGGACGGGCCTTCGGGGTAGCAGCTTTCTTGGGGGCGCTGGTCTTCTTTGGGGTTTGGGCGGCGGCAGGAGCAGAGGGTTTGTCTGTGGCGCCGTCCGGAGTCACTGAGCCTGCTGGGGCTTGTGCGTTCACAGTCAGCTGTTGCAGAAGCAAGGACTGGGCTTGCATGTGTTGTTGCATCTGCTGCAGCTGCAGCCTCAGCATATCTGTCTCAGACAGAGCAGGGACGGCGTGGGTCGGCGCAGGCATCTTCGCCGCATGAGCACCTTGTACGGGCTGCATGTGCTCAGAGGGCGGCGTGGGCGTGAAGTTGGGATGGGGGACCTGGCGGGGCGGCGGGGTCAATGACGGTGTCGTGTGGTCAGCGACACGATCAAAGGCATTCTGCAGCATTCTTCTCAGGGAGACATCAGCCTCACTGCTTTCATGCACATGTGCAAACATGCAAGTACATGAACTCGCACATGGCTCCGGAATGAAGGTGGGATTTTACGTTTTTGTTTGCCGTGAACGGAACCCGGAGGGGAGAGGAGTGAAGGAAGCCGGGATGGACTGGGTGGGGGGGCTGGGTTGAGAAGGGATATATGATTTTCTCGTATACGATTTGTATATGTATATATGTATTTATAAATATTTAAATAAGTATATATATATATGTAGTACGTAGAGAGTATAATATTACATATACATGCTGCGTAAGATATGTAGATTTGTTTTTCTCTATACATACATACATATATATATATATATATAGAAGATAATATGATCTATCTATCTATCCGGGAGACCAGAGGGCCGGGAAAGGGACCAGGAGAGCAGGGCCAGGGGCACCGAGGACCAGGGGCCGGAAAACAACGACCAACAAGTCCCACGGTTTTTGTTTCGCTTATTGCAGAAAGGACACTGCAGGCATGTCGCAGGGATCTTCGAAAGTATAGGGATCAGTGCCGGCGCAGTCACCCTTGTCCTCCTCTTTCTGCAATTCATCCTCTGAATCGCTCAAGGCCTCCGCCTTTGGCAGTGGCTCCGGAACTTGTTCAGGAGGTGCCTGCAACCATTTCGGGGTCAGGGGCAGCCTAACAGCTTTTCGGTGTACTTGGAGGTTCATGGCACTTAGTCTAATCACCCAACTGTCACCACATTGTGTAATTGGGTTATGAGTACCATGAACCTTCCCGTAGGGTTTAGAGAGGCTTTATAAAAACTTGAACAGGGGTATAGGGACACATTATATTGAGCAGTACATTAAATTTGACTGAAGTGGACTAGGGGCATTCTCAGTCTTCACTTCTACCTTGGCACGCAACAGGTCCTCTGCATCCTGCGTGGGACAGGAACACCTTAAAAGCGCATGGAAACATCCTTGCACATGCATGCGTAGAGAACCCCCAGCTTGCCCACTTGAGGCAGCGATGTGTTCCACAGCGGCTGCCATCTCCGATCCGCTCCAGGCTCGGCTAAGCAATGTTCTTGTTCTGGGCACAGGAGAGACAGGCATCCTACAGAGACGCAGTCTTGTACCAAAATGCTTCCTCATGCGCGCGAAAGTCTGCATGCTCAGGGGTGCATTTGCCGGCATACTTTTTGCGTGGCACAGCTGTTGGGCAGTCGTTTTGCTCACGCGGTGACTGTTTGGGTTCGGCTCGTGCCACTCCAGCAGACTGTCTGTGGCCAAATTCGTTCGAACCCTGCTAAATTCCCACAAAACCTAACCAAAAACAGCCAAAACACATCTTTCAGGACGAAGCAGGGTTGCTCGGGGACCAATTTAGGGCTGGCAAGGGAACGACAAATTGTCGACCAAAAGGCGGTAAAAAGACGTAAAGGCGAACGGTTTCGAACGGCCCGCAAACGGCCCGCAAACGGCCCGCAAACGGTTTAAGAACGGGTACGGGTTTTGAACGGGTTCGAACGGGTACGAACGGGTTGCTCCTGATTACACCTTTTTGTCGACACCAGGCGGCAATAAGGCGACCTGAACGGGCTACGAACGGGTACGAACGGGCTGCGAACGGGTGCCTCTGTACCCTTTTATATAAAAACCCACAAAACACTTCGAAAACCAGAGCAAGACTACCACAAAACTACATATGCTCGAGAAGCGGCTTCCTGAACTGTCTGCTGGAGTGACCAAAAAAGATGCAGTCCGGAGCCTCGCCGGCACCCTACAAACGCTTAGGGAAGGCTTCCTTCCACTTTGCTGGAAGAAAGAGCAGCTTAGATCCCCTGAGGTAAAACACAACCTCGGACAAACGAGCTTCCTCCCATTCCAGGCCTTCGTCCGCGGCTGACAGCAGCTCCAGGCCACTGAAACTGGGTGGGGGGTTTTCGGGCTTTCCCTGTCCCTCAGTCAGTAGACGAGGGAGAAGATCTCGAACTGCCTTTCCAAATCGAACTGGATAAGACCTGAGAGAACATGGCTGGGGGGGGTAATAGGTGTGCGAGTATACAACTCAAGATGCGTATGAGGCCACGACTGACTGTTCTTGAGCTCTTTGCTTCCCGTCCATCTTTTACGTCCCTCTGAATCAATTTTGTACGTCGCTAGATTCTTTGTTTTCTGCGCCATCTTTGCCTTGGAAAGACGGCCCTTATCCAAGAGGCGAATGGTGCGGTTGTTAGACCATCCTTTGCTTCTCTTCGGGCACTCGTGCCCGTAGTGCATCATCCACCAGCATACGCGCGTAGCCTGGGCAGATTTTCTGTTTTAACGGCTTAGGCAGGGGGACTTGGAGGTTCATGGTACATATTAAAATAACTGACAAGCCCCCTAAGTGCCCTAATATGGTTATCTATACCATACAGTAATCTAATTGAACCTTCATGTAGGGTTTAAAGAGGGCCTATTCTATATGTATATACACATGTGTACCCGGCCTATAACACAAACCCTACAGGGTTTAGGGTTTATAGGTTTAGCGGGTTTAGGGTTGAGGCTTGTTTACTGGCTAATGGGTTTAATGCGTATAACAGGGGCGGGGCCGGGGGGGGGGGGAGGGGGGGCTTGTGTAGGCTTTATATCATTTGCCAAGCTGTTGGCGTCAATTGGGTGTAGGGTGATCGGTCGAAACCAAGCAACACGAGTTGTCGTCAAGAATCGGTCGAAGCGATTATACCATCCCAGCAGGCTGCTTCCAGGCTGCTCTACAAAATATGTGCCTCCGCGGGCAATTGTGAGCTTCATCAGGAGGACGGTTCTGAGCTAGCAAGGCTTCGCATTCGGGTTTGTAAGGCTTTAGGGTTTTAGGGTTTATAGGGTTTATAAGGTTCATAGGGTATATATATATATATCTATAGGGTTTAGGGTTAAGGACTATAGGGTTTAGGGTTTATAATATATATATATATATATAATATAATAGGGTTTAGGGTTTAGGGATTAAGGGTTTATGTGTAGGGTTTATATATAGGGTATAGGGTTTAGTTGCAGACTCGAAACCGCGAGGCCATCCGGTTGGCCCTCCGTACGTATGCCTTTGAAGTGTCGCCTTCTGGACACAACACCGAACGGCGTGACGTGCCCATGTTTGTCATCACCCAGCTCGAACATACTATGCCAAATAGCACCATGAACCGGTCTTCTGCCGCCTGTAGTAGTAGCCAGCAGGCCAGCCTCACTCACACTAGCATGTGTTCACGAAAGAGACCCCAAGCACCGGTCTCTGGATAGCGGTCGCGCAGAAACACGCACACCCCCCACCCCCGCACCCCACACCCCCACACCCGCACCCCCCACGGCCCCCACAGCCCGACACCCCCACACCCCCACGCCCCCACACCCCCACACCCCCACACCCCCGCACCCCCACACCCACACCCCCACACCCCACACCCCCACACCCCCACACCCCCACACCCCCACACCCCCACACCCCCACACCCCCACACCCCACACGACCGCGCGCGCACACACGTACTTGGACCCACTTAGCCCTAACATGGGGTTATTTTTCTATATATATATATATATATATATATATAGTGTTGCAGTTGGGATAGTATCGTATATCATGAACCTCCAAGTACTTGCAGACACACAGACACACACACACACAAACACACGCACACACACACACACAGAGACCCGAGCACACACGGACACAGAGCGTGTTTATCCACTGCAAAGTGCAATATCACGCCAACCAGAATAAGTTCAATTTTCAGAAGATTCCAATATAAAAAGAACGCACTCGTTGTCAATCCATGGGCAAGCCAACGTGCGTGTGTGTGTGTGTGTGTGTGTGTGTGTGTGTGTGTGTGCGTGCGTGCGGGCGTGCGGGCGGGCGGGCGTGCTTGCGTGCTTGCTTGCTTGCTGGCTTGCTTGCTTGCTTGTCTATTTGTCTGTGTCTGTGTCTGTGTCTGTGTCTGTGTCTGTGTCTGTGTGTGCGTGTGTGCGTGTGGAGTGTGTGTGGGAGTGTGTGTGTCTGTGCTTGTGTGTCTCCGTGTGTGTGTGTGTGTGTCTGTCTGCGCGTGTGTCTGCGCGCGTGTGGGTGTGTGGGTGTGCTTCTGTGTGTGCGTGTGTGCCCATGTGCATGTGTGTGTGAGTGTGTGTGTGTGTGTGTCTGTCTGTCTGCCTGCCTGCCTGCCTGCCTGGTTTCCTGTTGGTCCGTCTGTCTGTTTGTTTATCTCTGCGTTTGTCTGTCTGTATGTGTGTATGTGTGTGTGTGCATGCGTGTTTGTGTGTGTGTCTGCATGTGTGTGCATGCGTGTTTGTGTGTGTGTGTGTCTGCATGTGTGTGTGTGTGTGCGCGTGTGTGTGTGTGTGTGTGTGTGTGTGTCTCTGCGTGTGTCTGTGTCTGGGCCTTGAAGG